AACGGACCGGGCCTGCTCCAGCCCGACTCGAATTTTTCCGAGCACCCACGAGGATCGACATGGGCCGGGCCCCTACGCATTGACGATATGAACATTCACATTGACGGTATAAACATTCACATTAGGGGTATTTTGGTAATTATGTCACCCATAGGACTTATTGAAACATAAGAAAATAATGTGAACTAAATGGAACATAAGTGGATGAAAATGGTATTTTGGTCTTCTTATCTCAAATAGGACCTAATGGAATAGTCAAAAAAGGTATGGGTTAGATGGAATAAAGCCCTTAGAAAGTGAATTTATCAAAAAAGCTCCCTATAAACAATGGGAGAGTTACTGATAAATCTCGTAATGTGAAATGTTGGTGCAATTAGTCCTTAGATATTTTTATTACTCCGTTTGGTCCTGCGGTATGTGTATCTTCCTGAAATGCCCTCATTTGTTGGGTTATGTGTGAATACGTTTTATGTGAATTTGTGGCGTGGGGTTTGATTGGGTGTCACGGTAGCAAAATGCCCTATAGTAGTTTTTCTTTTGTTGTAGTTATATGACGGTGTGAAGACAGTTAGATTGACTTTAAGAGTGACGTGTGACAGTGAGGTGTGTTTGGTTGTCACATTGGGAAAATGCTCTATAGTAGTTTTTGTTGTGTTGTATTTGTGAGACAGTGTGACGTGTGACAGTGAGGTGTGGCGTGTGACAGTGAGGTGTGTTTGGGTGTCACATTGGGAAAATGCTTTATAGTAGTTTTTGTTGTGTTGTATTTGTGAGACGGTGTTATGCATGACTTTTAGAGTGAGGTGTGTTTGGGTGTCACAATAGGTGTGTAGATGTTTTTGTGTGTCAGTATGTGTCCATTGATGGGGTTCCATTGGTGGGGTTTCTTTGTAGGAAGTAGGTGTTGTGTGTGAACTCATATGTGGGTTGGGGGGTGGGGAATAAAAAATGCTTGTAATATAAAGACGTTTGGTCTCCACCGTATGCACCCAACGTGCTACTCTGTTTGTAATTTTGTGTAACGCAGTAAATGAAGGGGTAGAAGCGACCATAATATCAAAATATAAATCAAAATAGAACCTAGTAATGATAATGTTATCACCTATGGGATCTATCAGTATATGTGTTAATTGGTAGGACTAAATGGGGTTACTAATGCTAATATGGGACTTTTGGATAATTTTCCCATAAACAATTCTACATTTATTTAGGCTTTGTTTGGTTGGGGTATTTGTGAAGGAATTTGAAAAAGAAAAATGAAAAGATTTGTGAAATTATATGAAATGTATGTATATTTTATTCACATTTCACCTATATTTTTCTTTTTTAAAAAAAAATTCCCAATCAAACACAGTGTTAAAATTTTACTAACAACGTTACTTACTTACATGTTGAATATTTAAGTATCGTTACTTTTATAACAATTAATCACATTTAGGCTATTATATATTTAATAAGATTAATAGTATATGCAAAATTATTCTTCATATATTGATGAGACATTATTGATAATTGAATTAAAAGTAGCAGTTCCGATTCGTAGCTCGAAATTCGAAGGCTCGAATTTGGCTCGACACCAAAACGACGTCGTTTTGGTGTTTTTCCAAATTCTTTTTTTTTTTTTTTTTTTTTCCGTCTCTCTGTCCTGAAGAAGAAGAAGAAATGGAAAGGGGTTGGGTTTCATCAAAAGAAGAAAGAAGAAAGGGGTTAGCAACCATCATCAACATTAACATCATCACCAACTGGGTTTCATCAAAAGAAGAAATGGGTTTCAACATGAACAAGCATCATCAACATCAACATCATCACCAGCATCATCATCATCAACAAATTTTCTTTTTTTCATTATCAAACACAGATTTTCATCTTCATCAACATCATCACCAGATTTTGTTTCAACGCAGATTTTCAAAAATTGGGATCATCAACAAAAACGAGCTAACCCGGATTTTTTTTAACAATCCCGATTCATCCTCAGATTTTTTTTTTAAATCTGCCCAAATGAAGCTTTGTTGGTATCTTTTTTTTTTTTTAAATCTGCCCAAATTTTTTTTCCTTCATCCTCAGATTTTTTTTTGTTCATCAACATCATCAGATCTGGCTCGAATTTTTTTTTGTTCCCTTCATCCTCAGATTCAAATCAGCAACAACATCATCATCATCTTCAACATCACCATCATCTTCATCAACAAAAAAAAAAAAAAAATTACCTTTAATCCTCAAAATTACCTTTAACCCTCAAAAAAATTACCTTTAATCCGGAACCGAACCGAGGAGCTGGGTCTGGTGAAGAATTAAGAAGAAGAAGAAGGAGCTTGGCTTGATGAAAATCTGTGGGGTTCGATTTTCCTTCTCCTCTTCCACTTCCTCTTCTCTCTTCTCTCTTTCTCCCTTCGTCTTTTCTCTCCCTCTGTATTTGAACACAGAGAAAGAAAGAAAAGAAAAAAAAATAGCCAAAACGACGTCGTCGACGTCGTTTTGGCTATTCGGGCCAATTTTGAGCCAACAAATTCGAGCTACCAACCATTTTTCTAAAAGTAGCGACACATCCTCTTATTCACACCAACCCCACGGCCTAGCTTTAGACCATCCAATCTCTAATAACATGGCCTACTTTTAGACCTCAGAATTTACAGTTGATCTCAAGTTTCCTTAAGAAAAATGGCTGGTAGCTTGAAATACAGCGGCCCGAATGGCTCAAATACCCAAAATGACGTCATTTTGGGTATTTTTTTCTTTTTTTTTTCCCTCTGTTCTCTCTCTGAAATAGACAGAAGGAGAAAATGAGAGAATGAGAAAGAAGAAGAGAGGAGAAGACAAGTCTGTGTATATACACAGAGGAAGGTCGCGTTCGGACCGAGCTCCATCAATGGTGACACAGATTAGTTTGACGTTGAGCTTTAAGCTAATCTGCTTCTAACACTTGTTAATCACCGACATTTTAGTGTATACATTTATTTGCTATTTTTTTTTCCTCTGTTTGTTGGATGAAATTTGGTTCGATTCTCATGGACTAAATGTGTATTTGTATAGATTTTCTGTTACGCAACTCTGATTCAAGTTGAATGTAAAGTTTTGTGTTGATTTTTGTGTCTGCATGTTGTGATTTGAGCTCCATTTTTTCTTCGTAATGTTTTTTCTTTGTAATGTTTTGGTCATTTTTATTTTTATGTTTTTGTTGGATTGTTGAGTTTGGGGAAGGGGATGCAAATCTTGAAGGAGATGATGCAAATGAGGAGATGAACAGAGGGAGTGAAGGAGATGATGCAAATGAGGAAAGGGAAGACCGGTGTATAAAGAAAAGGTGGGTGTACCAAGCAATTGGGGCCTTTCGACCCACGCCATTTCAAGCTACGAAATGGAGTTGCTTCCTTAAAACCATTGAACCCTCCAATTATGTTTACTACTCTCTTTAATAAGCAAACATGTTATCAAATTTTGCAACTTACATTTTATTTTATTTTATTTTATTCCACTAGAATACAACTCTAAAATTTTGGAGTTTATATTACTTTCCAACTACATGTTTTATCTCTCAAAACTCTATTTTTCTTGGCAAAGACTTTTCAAATCTAAATTTCAATTCGTTTTAAGGCAATAGTTAAGGGGAAAACTGTTCAATGCACTTTTCTTCAATTAATTTAATTCGCTCAGTATTTTTTGAGATAATTGTTGAAAAATTCAAGATAATAAGGGTATAAAGCATTAGGTTTAATGGTATTTTTTGTTGGTAAAAAATTCACATTTTGTGAAATAGTTTGGTGAGAAATCCTTTTAATAGTTTTGGAAGACATTTTGTTTCTAATTTTACCTCTTACTTTATCTGTTGACTTTCATTGATTATTAGTTCAAATTTTTTCCTTATCTGTTCAAATTTTTTTTATTTGTTCAAATACTCAATTTTTTTTTTATCTGTTCAAATTTTTTTCCTACATGTTTACTTTTTTAATCTTTTAATTCAAATTTTCCTTATCTGTCTAATTTATTATCTACTCAATTTTTTTTTGAATATTTGTTTACTTTTTTTTCCTTATCTCTTCAAATATTTGACCAAATATGATTGGTTGAAATTCTTTATTTGTTCAATTTTTTCCCTTATTTGTTTAACTCCATAAAGAACTTTGATCATTATCTATTCATTTTTTTTGAACAGATCTACCTTTCCTTTTATTTATTCAATTTGTTTCCATGATGTTTTGCTGCTCTAGACAATCATGGATGTTGCAATGCCCTAACTACACTCACAGATCCACCAAAACCTCAGTTATTCATTAATCAAAACATTAACATGACCAATTAATAAAATATGCATCTTGGCATCCTTTTAGTGAAAAACAAACAACTCATACATTGAGCATTAGCCAGAGACATCATCACAAGCAACAAGGAGAGACGTGATCCAACACAACTATAATAAATCATCATTGCATCTCAACAGGGAAGTAAGTAGGATGCTTTAGCTTCCCAGCATTAATGCATGGTAGATCAGCAGAATAACACAACTTTATGTTACGGTAATTCACAAAACGCATTAAGATCCTCTAGAGTGAAATCACTACAACAAAAAAAGTCTTTTGGTAACGAAAACGCATGATGAAAAAAAATTTCGTCTCCAAATATACATGTTTTAAAGATAAAAGTAAGATTCTGTCTTCAATTGTAGTATTTTTAGAGAGAAAAACCAAATTTCGTTACCAAATGCTTAAAATTAATAAAACAATAGGTGATGAAAATTTTATTCGTCTCTATATTTTATTTTTTGTCACAAAAAAAATTCCCGCCCTTGAAAAATTTCGCGAAATATTTGGACGCCATTTTAGAGACGAAAATTTTCGTCACCATTATATAAAATTTTCCGCAAGGAAATAATTTCGCCTCCTATAGTCTTATTATGCAAAACTACGCCGTTTCATGCTATAACTGAGAAGTCCTCTTTGTTTGTCCAAATCAGTTCCTATTTTGTAAAGCCCTCTTTGGGTTAGACATGAGTACTTGTTTAAATGGATTTTTCTTCCACCATTGCCACCACTCCAACACCACCACCATCTCTGCCGCCACGGATCCATTACTACCGCCGCTACTGCTACCACCACTCCACCACCACCTCTCATCCACTTCCATCGCCACAACCGCCAGTACTCTACAACCACTGTCGCCACTTCTTCATTACCGTTGTCACTCCACTACTACTATCACTACTACCACTACCTATCTTCGACTACCACCATCACCACTCTACCATTGCCGCCACTAACTCTCTTCCACAACCATTACTACCACTGTCACCGTCCCCACTTTACCACCATCACCGTTACACCACCACCACTACTACTTCACCACCACCATTACTACCACTGCCACTATTCCACCATCGCCGCCCCCGCCACTGCATCACCACCACTACCACCATCACCTCTCTATTACTTCCACCACCACGACCACTAACACTATCCCACCACTACCATTACCACTGTTGCTGCTACCATTTTTCTTCCACCACCACTGCTTTATTTTACCACTACTGTTGCCACCACTCCACTTCCACCGCCGCCACTCCACTACCACCACTAGCACTCTATCTCCACCACCACCACTAGCACTCTATCTCCACCGAACCCATTTAAACCCCTTTATTAAATAGGTGAGTTCAAATCGATTTCGTTTGGTTTCTATTTTCGAAAACTAATTTTCAAGTTTCGATCCTTATTTTTAAAATTTTTGATGAACTTTTTTAATATTGTAATCATTTTTTAATTGATTAAAATATATTTTAATTAATTAAAATATTAAAAGATTTCACTTAAAATTTTAAAAAAATACTAATTAAAAACTCAAAAAATAATTTTCAAAAATTGAAACAAATTTTTAATACAAATCCTATTTTGATTTGTTCAAACCCGCCCATTTGCCAAGTCGTCGACGAAAAAAAAAAACTAACAAATTATTCCCAAAATTTCCCCCTTCTTCTTCTTCTTCTTCTCCTCTTGCGCATAGTCGCTCATATGTCTCTCTGTCTCTCAGTCGCGCTCATCTCTCTCTCTCTCTCTTACACAACGACGTAGGGCAGCAAAGGCGGCGGTGTGCTGTGGCGTCTAGCAGCGAAAGTATCTGTCTCAGTCTCTCTCTCTCTCTCTCAGCGGCGTCTCTCTCTTTCTCTCTCTCTCGCGCTCGCTTAGTCTCTCTCTCTCTCTCTGCGGCGTCTCCCTCTTTCTCTCTCGCGCGCTCGCTTAGTCTCTCTCTCTCTCTCTCTCTCTCTCTCTCTCTCTCTCTCTCTCTCTCTCTCGTTCTTGTTTACGGCTGATTAACTGAATGCCGACTCAAACCCTTGTTCTCATATCCATCTCTTGTCTCTTGTCTCTTGTCTCTCATCCCTCTTTCTCCCTCACCCCTAATTTATGAACCCTAACAGGTTTTTTTCTACTCAATGCAGTCGTTGCTCTCAATCACTAGCGCCACTAGCTTCGCTACTCTCAAGTAACTCCTTTTCACTCTCATTCTCTCTCTATTGCTCCCCAATTTGTGGTTTTGATTTTTTTTTTTTTTGAAGTAATTTTGAAGAGCTTATTTGGTGTGTATATATATATACTAGTGGGTGGCACACACGATGTGTGTGCAATTTAAATAAGTAAGAATAAAAAAAAATAATAATGAAATTAATATTATAATGTGTACTTAGCTTAAGTGGTATGAGTCATCGTACTTAAACCCATGGTCATGGGTTCAAGGGTTCAAACCTTGCCCATCTCTTTGTTTAACTTTTTTTGGCATGAGGAGAGTAAAGTTTCAGGACACCAAAGTTCCTGTTCACTTTATAATAGTATAGATAGATATGAACTTGATTCATTGATAGTATAATTTCTTTTTTCCTCAGAATTTTAGTGATTTTCTTTGATTCTTGTGGCTTTTGGAAATACTATGAAATTCCTAAATATCTATATATATATATATCAGCATCACCAAGATTATCATACTCTGTTAGTGATTACGCCGTGTTTGGTTGAGGGATTTGAGGAGGGAATTAGAAAGGAAAAAGGAAAAGTTAGGTGAAATGTAAATAAAATATAAATACATTTCACCTAGTTTCACACGCCTTTTCTCTTTCTTTTTCCAAATCCCTCCCCAAATCCTCCAACCACAGCATTAGAGTATCTAATCTACATTAGGTGAGATTCTGTAGCAGGGGAATAAGATGATTCATTGCTATAGCTAATTAGTAGTGACTTGGTGGGTGGTTTTGCTGCTATACATGGCTGGGTTTAGCTGTTGCACTTGGCTGAGTTCTTGCTAAATTAAGCTACCTCACTTGGCTAAGTTATTCTTCAACAAACAGGGTTGTGCCATAGGTGTTTTGTTTGTGTTTTTCCCATGAGTTTCTTTGTTTGTGCTGCTCTTTTGTTCTCCTGGTTTCTCACAATAGTGCTTTTGATGTAAATAAGCTACATAAGCTAAGAGCCAAAGGTGGGAAGAAAACTGATACTGTTGTAACATGATTTCCAAAGAAGAGCCAAAGAAAAAGATAACAAAAAAAAAAAAAAAAAAAAAAGGGTGGTTTTCTTCCATGTTCCAGAGGTACATTATTTTGCATCATTCATCATCTTTTTTTTATTCAATGCTTGATAAAGTTTGGTTGATTTGTATCATAATTTTAAAAACAAAAAACAAAAACAAAAACAAAAAAAAGGAAAAAAAAGAAAAACAAACAAACAAAGAAAGCAAAACAAAAAACCAAGAGAACTTCCCTTTTTCCGGTTCGTTTTATTGGGGAAATGCAAATCATCTATTGGACATCAATAACAGGATTTCTGTTGGATTGATTTGTATGGTTAAACCAATCAAACTATTAAAATCCAAAATTTAGATTTCATTCATTTTATCTTCATATAATATATAATAATATAATTGAAAAAGAAGAAGAATGTTATGTTATTGATGTTTTAAATGTAGTGTGCACGACTTAGTGAGAGCATGTCTCTCTTTCAATCCCTTCTCTTGTTAAATGATGCCTTTTTCATTGCTATTATAGTGTCTTTTTCCCCCCCTCAAATTCTAGTTGTGTGTTGAGGTTTAACTATGACATGATGTGGTAACCTCTTATGTTTAGAATTATTAAAGAAAGTTTACTTGTCATTTTAAGATGATATATCTGAAAAAGTTATTGCTGAAAACTTCAAATGTTGTTACTTGTGATGCTAAGAAGTCACAGTTTGGACTTGAAAAAAATTTGCAAAATGAAAAGTAAAAGAAGTCAGTTTGGGAACTTCGTTTTCCTCACATTTTTATAGTGGGAAAAAATGTCGGATTTTTATAGATGGTCCATTTTATTATACTAAAACACTATTTGATTTTTTCAGAATATGTTTTCTAAATAACTACACACTAGTTTGGTGAAAAAACTAGATGTAGCTTGAATGGTTTCGTGAAACTAAAAATTTGAAACTAGTTTGGTGTTCATAGAGAAAGAACAAGCAGCCAAAGAAACTAGTAAGACAAAAAATAAAATAAAAAGAAAACTCATTCAATGGTCCATAGATTTTCTGCTATAATATTATTTTTAGAGTTTTGGCTACACAATCCGTAGTTGGCTGCAAGCAAATCAACAAATTCACATTGTAGGAACTAGGCCTCTAAATAATTTGGAGCTTGTTGCCCCTTTCCGACTTTTCCTTCAATTTTTGTATCCTAATAATATTTTGATTTCAATTATAGTTCCTGCAGGTTAGAGAGCCAAAGACAAGCAACTATGTTACTTGGGCAATTTGCTGCTACAGATTCAGACTGTAAAGTGGAATGAAAGAGTTTTTTTACAATTTAAAATAGAATTTTAAATTTTTTGAACACATCCCATTCCACTGTTATGCACTCTTTGTTGTAGTTTTATATATGATTTGGAGGAAGGATCCTCTAGAGTTTTTTTTTTTTAAAGTTTTCTAGAGTGGTGCATTGTGTGGTTGAGATTTAATGATAAGTCACATCAATTTTTCAGCATTAAATCTCAACCACACAATACATCACTTTAGGAAATTTTAGGAAAAAAACACTCTAGAGCATTCTTAGGTGCCGTTTGGTAACACTTACGTTTTCAGTTTTCTGTTTATATTTACAAAAATTTTAAAAACTCAAATAAAAACTTGTTTGGTAAAATTTTTGATTTATAAATCAGTGGTCTCAGTTTATAAATTTGGCCAAAAAATGAAAACACAAAAAATATTTTTCCGTTTTGAGTTTTGATTATTTCATGAAGTTCATGAGGTTCTTATGAAGTTTTTCCTAAAAAACGCATGATAGAGCAAGAAAAAGTGTTTTGCAAAAACACCCAAAACAAAGTACGTTTTTAGTTTTTTTTTTTTTTATCACCTAACATTAGCCACCACCCGCCACCATTTTCCACCACCGTCTTCCGCCACCACCACTCATCACCCACCCCTACCACCACCTGCCACCACCACTTATCACCCACCTGCCACCACACCCACCACCACCACCCCTCGCCGCCGCCACCACCACCACCACACCCATCTGCCATCCACCTACCACCGCACTACCATCACCGCCCGCCACCACACCCCGCCACCTACTTGCCACCACCACTCACCACCACCTGCCACACCATCCACCACCAGCCACCCGTCACCACCAGCCACTTGCCCACCACCCGCACCACCACCCACTACCCACCCGCCATCCACCTGCCACCACCCACCACTACCACCCACTACCTACCGCCCATCCACCTGCCACCACCCACCACCACCACCACGCCCATGGTCACCCACCCACCCACCACTACCACTACCCGCCACCTACCCGCCATCCGCCACCCACCTGCCACCGCCACCACCACCACCCACTGCCCACCGCCACCACTTGCCACCACCCACCACCACCACCCGCCATGGTCACCCACCCACCCACCACTACCACACCCACCACCCACTCGCCATCCGCCACCCACCTGCCACCACCACCCATTACCCGCCACCCCGCCACCACCACCCACACTACCACCACCCACCACCGTCCACTCGCTACCACCCACCACCGCCACCGTCACCCACCCACCCACCATCACCATCACCACCACCCGCCACCGCCGGTCATCCGCCACCACCTACCACCGTCATCACCACTCACTCGCTACACCACCCACACCGCCACCGTCACCTCACCCACTCACCACCACCACCACCTACCCACCCCACCCGTCATCCGCCACCTACCCTGCA